GGTCGTTGAAAAACTCAAAAATTCGTCGATCTCGAAAAATTTTTTAATATGTTTATGCAATTGTGCATAGTCCGTAGGTATTCTACAACTAGTTATTTTGACATTTCCACCATAAGTTTTTTTAATATCGAAAAATTACAAAATTTCTCCATACAAAATTTCGTTCCTCTATAACTTTTCAACCAGACCCTCAAAAAATCTTAAATTTTGTAGGTGCATATCTGCTGCCCACATTAACTTACTCACTAAAAATTAGAAGCCAGTCACCACAGGAAACCTCGGTTGTTTTCCGCGCGGTCCGTTGCGCGGGAGTTGGGCTTGCGCGGCCCCATGCGCGGCTCTCGGAAAATGCGCGAGCCTGGCGCGGCGGAATGCGCGGGACCGCGCTTTCTGTCGCGCAATCAGTCACGAAAGGAGCATGCGCGGTCCCGCGCATTTCGTGCATGGTTTCTAAACGTACTGAATGAAAAACTCGAGGCATTTAGCGAATTTTCGTTAAATTTAGATTTATTTATAGAAACTTGTTTCTTTCCTGGAACCAACGCTGTTTTTTGCACTGAAGGTCGGAGGTATCAGGCGAGGCTATTTATCATTTTCAGGGAATTTAGGATTTGAAAATGCTGATACTTTGATGTCAAACGCTCCATGGTGAAGCTTCGGCAAGTTTTTTTAATTTTTCAACAAAACTTCACTCTCAGTTCTCAGTGAATGCACCGTCAGAGGCCCCGGTGTCGGTAATATGTGGCATATGGCATAATTACAAGAAGAAACGCGTATGATGAGAAGTAAGTCTGATTTATTATTGTTATCGGGAGAATTTAGGCAAAGAAGCTGGTAGAAACAACTATCTCTTCAACGAAATGACCACGGTCAGTCAAAACGTAAGTGATGCGAGCGTAAGTCGAACTAATACTGTAAGTCTGAATCTATCTAGCAAGTTAGCTAACAAAATAAATAGGATTTAGCTCAATTCGTAGGCACTCACTTGGAACAAGGTGAGTCAACAGTTATAAAAAGCTAGTTTTAAAATACCAAGGACAAGTTTAGGTTCATCGACAGCACCTCAACTCTTCTTGCGGAAAACAATCTTTTAAAACTGTTTTTGTATCATTACCCCGGTATAAATGTATAGCTACTCATGCTCCATCTACTCACAGTAATACCTGCTCCTAACGCAGGTTTAATAAGTAATATAAGAGCTTTAAAAGGAGGAAAAGCGCCCCTGGGCCAGTTGACGACGAGAGCCGCGCAAAGTCCCGCGCATTCGCAAGTCCCGCGCATTTGGCCGGCGCTCCCCGAAATGCGCGGGACCGAATCCCTGCCAGTCTCCGGTCCCGCGCATTTTGTCGCGCAACGGAGCGCGCAAAAACAACCGAGACTGAGAAAAATGCAAATTAAGTTTCCCCGAACGCACAGTTTTCGGGTGTCATTTGTATTGATACGTCGCCGAAAATCGAAAAAATCAAGTTGTGTTAAATCTTCATGCCCAGCATATTTAAGCATTCTGGCATGGTAACGTACCTTCGATTCTCTACCGTTCGCGAGTTATTTCGACCCAAACTGTGGGCTTTTTTTTTTGCCCACCCTGTAGGCGCTTTGCGGAACGGGTTACGGTAACTGATTATTACGGCGCCGTACGGCTTTTGGTGCGCTGACTATAGCCTAAAAACCTTTTTATTTTAGTAAAAAATCATATTTTTTTTATTCCACGCCTTTTAGGGAAGGAATAGTTCAGCCTTGGAGCTTGGGTAGCCTTTCGCGTTTTGCTTTTTAGCTCCACCCATTTCAGAAGAATTAACGGGATCTATAAATATCTAAAAAGACGGTTTAATTCTTTGTTTGTTTTGTTTTTCTGATTTTTTCTTGCTTTATGATTTTATCTCCAGTATTCAAGCGAATCAACGGGAATAATGCAGGTAAAAATGCTGTGTATGGCGCGGATGTTACCCCGCTTTTCTGCGCTTATTAATCAGTCATCTTGGGTGAAGCCCCGGGTACACCCCCACCATTCCTCATCCTTCGATCCCCGCCCGCTACGACAAGTCCGTAATTGGAAAAGGGGGGCCTCGACACATTATTCCTAGCCTCCGTGGTCGCCCTGGGGCCCCCTCATTTCACGCCCGAACCACCACCCCAGCAGCAGAAGCAGCAGCCTCCTTCTCCCCCTCACTGCCACCGTGGTGTTGTTGGTGGGGGAAATTGAATTTAAGACTCCATTTCTCGTGTGCTGGAGATTCGTCCCGTTGGCACGCACCGCCTACTTGAGACTCCGCTAATTATCTCCGACACACAAGCACCCGCACGCACCCTACTTGCCTCCTTTACCCTCTGCCGTTACCCGCGGCTTTTCCTCACCGCGTTTTTTGTTTGCTTTTTGGGTAGCTATAGAATTGGTTTCTTGCTTTGAGCGTTTTATAATTTGTTTTTTCTAAAAAAAATTAAGCTAGAAGTCCTCAAAATTCCTCAAAATTGAGGCTATAATTTGGCATCTAATTTTTCAAATTCGGCAAATCGCTCTGGTTTGACACGTTTGGTAAATACTGGAGTGCGTTTTGTTTTGTTTGCTTTTTGGGTTTCCTGCTTTTACAATCAGCTTTTTTAAAAATTCTTTTTCCTCACAATGGAAGCTAGAATTTGGCATCTAACTTCTCGTGCAACAAGCTTGGTTATGGATGTCGGCTAAATTCTAGGCTTCCTTTTTGTTCTGTACGTTTTTGGGTCTCTAGAGAACTATTTTAGCTCTTTTTTGGAAAATGGGTTTCCCTCAGATTTGAAGATAGTGGCTGGAAACTCGCTTGTGGAAGTAATGAAAAACGATTTCGCTATGAATTTGTATTTAAGTCTTAGATTTCGATCTCTAGAGCTTTTATAAATCAACAAAAAAGCGTTTACAGTGCAATTATTTACAGCCAATTTTTTTTGACGAAAAATTACTAATGGATAATACTTAGCTTGAATTATCAAATTTAGTTTCGACTTCTGGAGCTCTTGTCATTAGAGAAAAAGCATAAGAGTGTCTTTACAATTTAATTTTTCGAGAAAATTGCTACGAATTTATTTCAATTACAAAGTGGAAATCGTTTGGTTTACTCTACAATTATAAAGCCCGTCATCTCCGCCTTTCAAAACTCTTTCAGCCTAACTACGCACAAAACCGGCTACCGGGTTCCACCGAAAAGTTGCCGTGTTGTCTTGGAAAGCGTCAAAATGCTAGTTGGTAGGGTTTACAGCGGTGGGGCTGATGGCAGGGCCCGTGTGGGGCGGCTTGTCTGGGCCCTCTCTAGGGCCCAAGCGAAATGGAGAATCTAGCGTGGCTGTCCCTCCATGAATTGGGCCAACTCTCGCCTACTGGGCCCTCTCCCATCACCGACTGGGCCCCCGTTCTCGAGTTGTCAGGGCAGGGCGCGTTGCGGTCGCCGGGCGTATGCCCGTCTTCTCCCTCAGATGTCGCGCGCCCTATCGATTCGGCAAGTGAGCACGGATGCGTGTGTCGATACTCTAAGAATATTGTTTTTGACAGTCGGCTTCCTGGAGAGATACCCGACCGGCTGGTCTGCTAAATTTTCGAGTCAAAACGATTCTTGGTCGTCGGGACGGCGAAAAATCGCACATTTCAGGATTTCAAGCTTGTAATTCGATCATTATCTATTCTATTTTTTACTAAACAGCTTCAGAAAAGTCTTCCTAAACTTTGGGGGCAAACTAAACTATGAAAAACTAATTTTATTGGTCATTATGAAGAAATCCAACTAATTTTACAGCTATAAAGTTGGCCCATTTATTATTTTTAAAAGTTCCTTTGCTTTTGCCGGTAAACTTCTCAGCAAATTTCAGAGCCCGAACGTTATTTCCAGGCAATGGTATACATAAATCTAGTTTGCTCCCTGAAGACAAAATTTTTTTATTTTCGCCAGGCCTTAGTGATTAGGGCTATCGACGTTCCATGAAGCCCAAGAATCCTGCCTATAGGCCAGAAAATTAGTCGAATAAGTAAAATGCTCTCTTTAGCCAGGGTCTTCTTTTAGATGTGTAGGGTGGCTCCAGGAGTCCGAAAGTCAGCACACACGATCGTTTATTTATATTGCACTCTTATCGCAGCGAGGCCGGCCGCCCTCGTCCACGCTTCTTGCTATGGATTTCTCATTTTTTTGTTGTTGATACTTTTCTTGTGTTTACGTAACATTGTGAATTAGTAATTCGTATTTTCTCCTTTATTATTCACGTTCTAGTGATTTAAATTGGGTAGAAATCGCTTCTTTATTTTCAGTTTTTCAGGAAATTGAGTAATTAACCTTTGCGAAGATCCATGCAATGGATTCCCTTTAATTTTCATGAATTTTCTAGTATAGCCCAATTGGCGTGCTGTCAGCGTGGGCCATCGGGTGCCTCTTTTGTCGCCATAACCCATGGCCCATTGTGTTGATTGATTGGGTGGAGTATTGCCTAGGGTCGCCGCTTCATCCTGCTTTTTTTGTGAAATCTATCCATGAGTGACAGCTATGAAGCTTCGAGGGATTAGAAGCCTTGGGAATATTTATCCGCTGCGAATTCGCTCATGCCTCTTTTCGTCACCTTTAACGAATTCCCCCTTGCTAGTTGGCGTGCTGATTCAATTCTTGTTGCTTCTCTCTGCTCTCCAATTAGAAGTGACTATAACAACATCTAGAACAACCTCCCGATTGCTCTCCCTAACTTTAAGCAAGACCTGTTTTAGATAACCTTTTGGAAAGCATACAATTTCAGGATTAATTATTTGGTTTTGCAAGAATAACGGTTGCGAAATGGAATTGTCGATTTCCACATCTGTATTCTCTCCACTTTTTTTATGGGGCATCTATGGGTCGCAATAGTATCTTAACAATTCCCGATAAGAATTTGTTAGGCATATTCATATCTTTTGCACTGGGGTCATACTTTTGGCCAATTTTTTAATTGTTGTCCTCCCTTTCATCTGCCGTTCGACCTTCTTATGCTCATAATATTGTCTTTTTCCAGGCGCCATGCAGAAGAGGGCGCGGGCCGTAGAAACGCAGAAGTTGCGCCGCACCTTTAAACGGACAACACGGCTGGCTGAGCAGGAGGGGTAAGAAAGTAATATCTTTCGTGATTTCTCAATTTAGGGCATGGGGAGTTTTCACCTATCCTCGACTCGCAATGCTCTGGATCGGTTTGATGGTCTTTGACGCTTTGGTAAGCCATTTCTACGGAATATCATTGTTTTTCTATTCAGCTGGGCCTGCGCGCGGAATTGATCTGGCCCTTCTGGATCTTTGCCCGTGCCATCATGGATGCCGTGCATCGCAGCGGAACATCAGTGGCTATCTACCGGGATGGCCAAACGGTTAGAATTAGCCTTTTCTTCGCGGCTAATCACTGCTTTTAGCAAATGTCTATAATCTTCATTTGCGTGACCGCCACCTCAGATTTAATTTGTTGGTTATTTATACCGGTGAGTAGTGTATAATGAAAACCAGACCTCTTTGTTTAGGTAAGATATCTCATATTCATTGGGAGCACGTACGTCTGGCTGCATCTGACGTGGCATACGCATAACGCATCAACGCGCTCCAATTCTCCATTTTTAAATGGTAAGCGTTTGAACGATCTATCGACGATTTCTGATCTTTTTAGCAGCACCACCGGCAGAACGGACATCAGCAACACCGCTGGTGTTTTTGCTATGGTGTTTCTTCTTATTAGTTGAGGCGAGTTGATCTTGTAGTTTTTACTGGTATACTGAAAAGGTCGTAATTTCTGCAACTTTTTTTCGCTAGAATTTTGTATGGACGCTTATGGCCTTTTTGGCCTCGAGTTTTATATGGACGGGAAATAATGCATTTTTTTCCAGGTCTTTGGACGATTGCGATGCGACTACGTGATTTTAGGCGGAGCATCCCTCGCATGGCTTGGCATAGAAGGTCAGCACTTTTCAGCTCATTCTCAAAGAACCATTTAGGTCCTCTGTCCGACTGTGCCCGGATGCAGGGTTTATTACCACTATTCTCAAAAGTCCTCAACGAATTCTTCGGCGCTCACTGTATTGGCTACCCATTGGTGATCGTCTCGTTTAGCTTGCGATTTTATTTTAAGTGAGTTGTTGACGCGTTTTTTGGTTTTAATTTCCGGCGAAATAATTCTATTCCTTTTTGCAGTGAGTGGAAGTTGCGGCGGAAACAGGACGACGTGTCGAAGAAGAACGAAATACTGTACAAGTGCCTCGTGGAAGCATTACCAGCCGTCTACGATGGGCCGAAGCAGTATCGACTCGACAACGACATCGGTAAGAATTTGCGATTTTTAGACGTGAAAAGCCGATATTTATAATTTTTGTCATGCTCTTGGCAGCCAATTAGGTTTTTAGCGGTGCAATTGGTGTTGAAAAATATCTTAGCCGATTTTTATCGCGTAATTACGCCAAAAAGGCTTCTAGCTCCTCTATACAAAATTCTATTATCATTTAGTTCGAAACTCCAGCGCTCTAGGGTACATCTTTAAAAAGAATCAAAGCCGGAGTCGTAGAATTTAGGCTAAAATGTACCCTAAAGCGCACTTATCGGTTCGTAAACGTTTTATTTTCTATTTTTTATTCTACTCTTTCAGATTACGACTTGGGACCTCCAGAGGTTCCAATGCTATTGCCAGCAAGTAGCAGTCATTCCAACGGGAATGTGGGTGGAGTTCATGCGGGATCAGCCGCGGCGAACAACCGGAAGCATTCCATTCGAGCCCCGGTGTCCACTACGGGAGGGTCGAGTAGAAACAGGAGACGGAACAATAAGGACAACGTTCAAAGAACGCCGCCCGACCCCGTCAACGCTAAGCCTGAAAGTGGGTATTACGCTTTTTACACCATTTTATCAGGTCTATTTTTGTCTTCGAACATTTAAAAATTTTTTATTCTGCGTTTATACCGTATTAAATATCGATTTTTAGGCAATCCTCAATCAAACGCCGTCAATTCGACAGCACCGGTTGAAAACTGGGAAGAAACCGAGCAACGACGAGGCGGCATATTGCAGCTCCTTTTCAATGGGTTCGCCTGGTTGACATCAAAGCTTTCTGCTCCCGACGTCGAGGGCGAGGACGCAAGTTCTTACAACGACGAAGAGGAAGACGACGATGACAGCTCTATTGGCGAAAACGAGTCGAAGAAGAATGGAAGCACGAATGGACGCGGGCCGCCGATCGAGCCCGTCAAACCTCGCGCTCATTCTTCTACGCAGTCGAAGCGGCAGCGAGGGCGGGGGGCGCAGCAGACGAAGATGGTTCGTGTTTTTCAAATACTAGCTGGGGTGTCCATATGAGATATATGCATAACGCCCAGGGACGTAGCGTAATACCGGCCCCCCCCCCCCCGAAATCGGCCGGGGCCCGAAAATCCTTATGATTTTTATTTTCTCAAAAATTTTGCTGCCTGCGGCGCTACTTTTTCACGTTTTCACGGCTATTTGTAGAGCTATGTCACCTTTTTTCAAAAATTTTTGCCTGCGGCGCTGTTTTCTCGTTAATGTTTTTAGTTTTTGGAAAAATTTTTTGGGGCCCTCCGAAATTTTTTCCTGGCTACGCCCCTGATAACGTCTGGCTAAATTTTGCCCTGCCATTGACCTATCCATTGAAAAAATGGGCAGATTGGTACGTACGTCATCATATCAAAAAAGCCAAATTAGTTTGTCAGCTTAGCAGATTTCTCGAAGTAATGACGTTTCGACATAATGACTTTTCGAAGTTCCTCGTTAGCGGCATATCTTTTCCCTCAAATAAATCACATTTTTTTAGGAAGAGAAAAAGACGACGACGCCTTTGGTGGCCACGGTCTTGCCGACGTCATCCTCGATCCAGAATGGCCACGCGAAGCGCGAGGACAGCGTGGATAAGCGTCGGCCGGACAGTCGGCCTCCGAGGGACCTGGAGAATCCGAAGGCGGAAAACCATCAATCGATGCATGGGTTCGTAAAAAACGTAATTAGTTTAACAAAGGTCTAGATGTGATCTTGAACTGTCTCGCGTAAGAACCGAGATGTCTGCCGTCAAAGCCACGGAAGCTGATCTGCGTCTGCAGCTGAGCGTCGCCGAGAACGAGAACCGCATGTCGAAAGCCGACGCTGCGCAACTTCGTTCGCGGCTTGAGCAGCTGCAAACCAGGTATCTATAGATTATTCTCACTCATTCGCTGTTTCTAGATTTGGTTCATTGGAAAAGACACGGGAACAAGATCGCGCCGCTGCTTCGCAGTTGGAGAAGAAATACGCTGACCTGCTGTATCGTAAGAACGAGGTGGAGAAGGAGTTGCAAGCCGAACGCCGCATGCGTCAGGAAGACAACAACAAGAACAAGAAGAGGTACAACTTCTTCGTCCATAAATATATTTTGTTAGCAGCGATCTCTCACATGAACAGCGTGAGAAGGAGGTTCGCCTTGAGGCCGAAACTGATCGCCTGCGGACGGAATGCACGGCCAAGGATGACGCTTTGCTCCTGATGCAGCGCGAACTGCAGCAGCTGAAGGAGTACAAGGAAAAGACCGATGTTGAGGTATTCACTAAAGCTGTTTCATCCTAATCCAATTTTAGGGCTTGCAAATGGAGATGCGCATCTTGAAGGATAAGAACAGCCACCTGGAGGATGCGTTGGCGGCTGAGAACAAGCTGAAGCTTGAGCTTTTCCGGGCGCTCGGAGAAGCCAAGTCGAAGAACAGCGAGATGACCAGTAAGTTTTTTGGTTCTAGAATTAAGGCGGCTTCTGATTTATCGGCTCCCGGCTAACGAATTTGTTTCAGAGAAGCTCGGAGAACTGCAGGGCTCGAGCACGCCAGTTGCCAACCCGTCGCCGCCCCTGCACGAGAATTCGTCGCCGAATTCGCCTTCTGTCAACAACCATGCCAGCCATCCTTGCCCTCCACCGTCTTACGATCACATCATGGCGTCGAACTATATGTAAGTTTTGGGATTTACTAATTTTATACCAAAATTTCTATCTGATGAAATCAAAATTTTCGATATTTTCACTATTTTTCGTTTTTTTTAGACGCCATTCGATAGAGCATGAAAAAAATGTATTCGACTAGTTTTAATTACAGCTTAAGATATCCGTGTAAGTTTGGCATAATGTTAAACGCTTTTTTAGTTTAGTTTAGTCAACTTTTCTTTATTTTCAGGCCCTACTCGTTCAGCGCCTCACCGGCTCCATCTCCGACCGGTGAGCACCATCTGTTCGATACTGGACTCGGTGAGCATGGCTTTCAGGGCTTACACCGATTTTAGGCCTCCAACGCCCTCCTTCGCACCCGTCTTCCGAATACTCGATGACCAACCACTTCGACAAGTACGCGCAGCTGCTCGCTCCGGGCAAGACGACCAACTGAATGGCCGCGACTTCGGCAAGCTGTCCCCTCCCCGTTTCGTCCTCTAGTCTACCAGCGTACCCACTCCCAATCTCGCCTGTACCATCTGCCGTAACGTTGGGAGGTTGTTAGTGGTTTTGGTGATGCGATGCCGGTTTTTAGCTTTACTGCCTTTCGAGATGTCTAGGCTCAGGTTTTTCTAATACATCTGGGGGTTAGCGGTGTTCCCTGTAACTGATCTGGGCATCGCGTCACTCTAAAGCTACACAACGTCTCCGGCTTGGCTCCCCCGCAGCTTTCCCCATCTACTTCCCCGTTAGTTGTATACACCGCTGATGTTACGCATTTCCGCATATACGCCCCCCCACTCAGTCGATAACCGGTTTAAGCGTTGCATATACGACCCGTTCCTCTTCCCCCCTTCGCACCCCACGTACCCTGTTACCGTAGTGATCTTTTCTACAGTACCCTATTTCCCCTGCCCTACCCCACCCTCCTCTCTCTCTATCCTTGAGCGCGTTGCACGACTGGATCTCATCTTACGGTTCCAAAACTATACGTTTGCTTTTCCGGCGCCACCCCGACAGTTTATTTGTTATGTGTATATCATTCTTAACCGGCCCATTTCAGCTAATATTAATAGAAGTTATATAGTTGGCCCGTTGCGGCCCGTCTTTGCGAAGCCCTTTGTTAAGCAGTGTTCGGCGTCGGCGAGTGACGACCGGCTGCGGGCCCTCCCTTTTCCCCAGCAAAACTCTTTCCTGTAACCTGGTGGTACTCATCCTAATGCGTTATATCGGTCTCCTCCGATTTATATATTTGTCACTTTTACTCGCAAAGCGTTGGGCAACAAAGCGTGCTAATACTATCTATCGAGTTGTCGGAATGCACCACCGAGTCGTCAATAACACAGACACGTACATTTATTTTCACCTTTGCGATCGGAATAATCAAAATGTGAAGAGAGAAATCAGACTCCAGGCTCCAAATTTAGCTGCCACCCCAGCGGCTAACCCTTAACCTTTGTGCCGGCTTTCTGGGTTCCATTTTTTGGACTCAACGGCGGCGGGACGTCGAAGTGGAGCATTACACCGGGCCTCGGCGGGCTCTCTCTCTTTTCGCAGGCCCAAAAGGGACCTCTTGCTCAACCCAGGGACCAGGGGGACTTGTGCTCTACTGGGCCCTCTACGTAGTCGGCACGCCCCCCGCCCAACTTCTCGCATTTTTCAGCAACTCGTGTGCCTCTCTTCGGGACCACCGCCGCCGTGTCACACTTCTCACTTTTGAGGGCAAGGCGCATTTTTAACAATGTCTTTGCTTTGTCTTCACCGGGACGTTCCGCGGGTTTTTGGAATTCTTTTTTTGCAAAAAAAACCTGAAATATCTGTTATTTGACGGTAACTTTTAAAATGTATCTTTCGATTGTTGTTGTGTCGTTTTTTATTGAATTGTTATACAGCCCCTTGAATGCAATCGGCAGGATTTTAAAATTAAAAATTTTTACGATGGAATTTTTTGGTTTCCCAATCCCCCTAAATTTTGCCACGCCCGAAATGACGCTTCTTCCATTGCGTAATGGAATTACCAGAGCGCCAAAAAAAATACCAAATTGATGCCTTACCGGCCCCTTTAATGAAAGCTTCAGCTCCTAGCATCGACGCCAATAGCCCGAGCGACCATCCGCCAACATGTGGCCGCCGTGCGCACGCTTTTTTATGCCAAATTATAACTCCGCGGCGGCGGTCGACTAGCCCGAGGGCCCAATCTACCACCACCAGCCCAAATGATTCAGCGCGGCCACATATCTCCGGCATCCCCCCCCGTTTTTTCTGTGCGTGCACTCACCGGGTGACTGGCAGCGGCTCGAATTCGAATTTATGGGCTTCTCCTCTTCCCCTCCGTTGTGGTGGTGGTGGTCGAGTTATGGACGGGCAATTGGGTTGCCCAGGGGCGCGTCGTACCCCCCGGATACGCGCATTTTAGCAGTCAAGAAAAAGCGGAAGAGAAGAATAGGAAGAAGCCAGCTTTTTTTCAGGTATCGAACAGCATCGGCCGGCTCCTTTTTTGAACCCCCTATTTCGCCGCTCCGCTGACTGCGGATTATGGATGCTAATTAGAATAGTTAGTTTTTTGTAGTGTAAAAACCCAAAATTAGCAACAAAATTGAACGGTTTCATCTTCGAATTATCAAATTTCCGTCGTTTGGACCTCTTTATGCCTCTTTGTTTTTCAAAAAAAATCTGTTAAAAAAATTCCCTACCCAAAAAGTCCTGAAAACTTGATCAAAAGCTGGTTAGAAGAACCATCAAAATAGCATTTGGCGAGCTGAAAAAAAATGCGAAATTAATTTGTGCTAAATAAAAATTCTTGGAAAGGAACGTTCAACTTCTTTCCAACATTAAACGTTTGAAGAATAATTTCAAGCGAATTGGAGTCGAAAATCCGAACTGCCTCCCCCCCCACAAGTGGATTAGTACCGGCCGATTTTCAGGTATCGAAAAATCTTACCCAGCTTATTTTACGTTTAAAATGGCTAAAATCGGCTGTATTAATGTTGTGTATACCTTTAGAGTTGTCGTTTCCTGGGGGATCTCTGGAACAGACGGTCGGTGCTCCCTTGGGTCCTCTTTCGCCTCGGCTTGTGAGGCCCACCTGTGCCCTGTGATGTCTCGGGTCTCGCCGCCGCTTTTCCCCCTCTCACCCCCAGAATTAGAATTGTTTGACTAGGCACCCGCCCATCCTCTGCCCCCCCCCCGTGCATTTTTCATCCTCAATTAGTTACTTGGTCAACATTTTTGCGGCGCACATTATTGTTGCGTAGGTATGATCGTCGGTTTTTGGACAACGTTTAATTTTAGGGCATCATCGGCTATTCCAGCTTCATCAAGCTCGTTTTTTTGCGAAAAAGCTTGCTTTTCTAAGCACAAGACAACTTACCGCTACAGTTTTTCCTGGCCAAGGTTCAACAGGGTTGTTAGATTTTAGCCTGTTAGATTAATTTTCTGTTTGACGATTCAGACTTTTAGCGCCGAAATTTGCAGCAGAAGATTTTTATTCTTTATCGTAATCTAACTGTTTGTTTCTAGAAAAAATTAAACTGCGAGAAAAGCTCGTGCTTTTTCGTAGTTTTTCTGGTGTCAGAACCCCGCCGGCACCGTTATTTTTATTTAAACCATCCTATTTTTCTTATTTTTACAATTCCGAGCACCAATCCACCCCCAATTTCCCCTAGCCACACCGGAAATAAGCTGATCCCCAGACGGGACTTCCCCCCACCACCCATTAATTGCTTATCAAAAGCTACCGCTCGGCATCAAAAGCCATGACTTGATGCGCCGGCTTTTGATTCCTCGATTCAGGCTTCTGCATCCCCCCATCCACCCCCCGGCGTCAATGTCAACAGCCAGGCAAAAGTCGAGTCGAAATGTCAACAGCTTACCCGGTGTGTGCCGCCCATCTCTTCGGCTTAGACACTATCAATAATACTTGTGGGTACGGCGGACCCGCTAGACCCACCAATCATATCATCACATCATCCTACCCGGCCCCAGGTGCACGTTTCGTCTTTGATTTTTGGAGTTGAGTGTCGGGGTGCGGGTGAGAGTGTAGTTTTTCTTAGTTTTCTTCTCGCCCTATGAATTTGGACGCGCCCGCGACACGCAACGCGGCATTAGGCAATGGAAGGGCGGATGCGCGTCGTGTCGCGGTTGCGGTAAAACCCAGTGCCAGCAGCATGAAAAGTCGCGTTGTTTTATAAAAAAATGCAACACTAAATTATTTTTTTCCTTTCTATAAATACCTTTTCCAGTTTTTGAAATACTGTAGTTTGCAGTTTTCATTTACCCCTATAGATTTCGCCGCGCCGCAACACGCCACGCGCAGAAAATGACCGGGTGGGACCGCGCGTTGAGTGTCGCGGGCGCGGCAGAACATGTATGGAATCCAGCGCTACTAAAAACCAAAGCTGCGTCGCTGCATAAAAAAATGCAACACCAAGTTATTTTTCCTTTCTATAAAATCTTTTTCATATTTTGTGAAAGTGTACCTTTAATTAATATAACAAACGGCCTTTTTAAAGCACGAAATAAAAATATAAGCATTTATAAACCTACATTCTGCAAGCAACGTAATCAGGAAATAAAGATTGTTTTAAAAAATTCGATGAATTCGTATATTTCAACGGCGAACGCGCGCGCCTTTTCACAAATTGGCAAGGATTAGTGGTGAAGGCCTAGGCGGGCCAAAATATTATTATTTACCCGTTGCATGGCGGCCACCCAGGGCCCCCAGAAGCCGCAGAAGACGAAGAAGGGCCCCCATCCAGCCTTTCCGGGGCTAAAAAATGAAACGGAAAAGTCCTTTTTACTCTTTGCCGCCTCCTCCTTCCCGTCTTCCAGCCCCAACACAGCGCTACCTGGGCCACAAGCTTCTCCACTCGCCGCTCGCCCGAACAAAAAAGCTTATGGCCTTGCCTTGAGGGCTTGCCGGGGGCAAATGTTTCGATTTTTCCGGTCCTGTGACTCGTCGTTTTGTCAGTTTTCTGTGAAAATGGGTTTTACTTGTTTTTTTAAGTAGTTTTCAGGGTCGTAGACGAATTTTCGACTCAAAGATGGCTCTCTAACACCAGAGAAAACGCTAAAAGTTAAACGTTAGCACAACCCACATTTTATGCTAATGAATCGGGTGCTAACCTCTGAGGGTCAGGCTGGCCGTGGTCTAAAGGGCTTTTCGAGGGACACGCCCCAAATATTTATTTATTTGGCCCTCGGCCCTTTCGGCTGCTCCAGCCCGGATCGGCCATCGATTTTCCGGATCCCCGGCAGGGCCCTTTTTAAATGAGGTTTGTTGCCGTTTTACGTGTTCATTTAGCTCTGGATGAACGCTGTTTCATTGTCATATCGCGTATAGGATAGGATCTGAGCAAAAATCAGTGTGAACCTCTATTTTCTATTTTAAAACCTAAAGGTGGATTTTCGTAAATCATTTTCCTATTTTCTTGCCCTTTTTAGATCGAACGGTGTTCGGCGCTTTATTTAGAAATGCGAGAATCGACCCCGTTAATATTTCTGAGGGCCTCCCACAAGCAGATCTGCCTCCCCAGGGGATTACACGCCCCCCTTCACTAGTCAAAGTCGAAAATCTACCCACACATCAACGATCCACGGCTTATTTTCAGGTCTAGGGCCCAATAGCCGATCCAAAATGTCCTGTCGTCGAATGTGGTACTAGGTTATTAACGGGGGGAGCTATTTAGCTTATTCCTGCCTAGTCAATTTTTTGAGGTTTCATCGTGATTTCTCTAGCTTATTTCGTGTTTTTGAGAATAAAAATTCACAAAAACATTTAGAAAATTAAAAAAAATGAATTTTTGACCATGCATTTCGAAGAAAAAAATGTTACAAATTTTGTAATAGTGTTTTATGAACTTTCTATGCCAAAAATCGCGTAAAATTTCACCAGTAAACAAAATAGTCTGTAACGCCTCCCCCCCCCCGCTAACAACCCAGTACCCGAATGCTTACGTAAACAAAATCAGGGTTGAAACCCCGCCCGCGATTGCCATTTTTTGCTTTTCTTTCCTGTGCTCAACCCATAATTTGTAGCGCACATCACTGCAATTAAGCCCGCGTTATTTACTTTTCTATGGACGTAATTTGAAATTGGGCGTGCAAGTGTATTCAATTGACTGGCCCCCATTCGTCACATCAACCCCGTCATCAACCGCCCCAAAATTATGAATTTTTGATTTTTGGGCTTTTCATCGCTTTTCCTCTCCTCTTTCCCCACCCAAATTATTGGGCTTGTGGAAAGGTGTGAAAAGGCGGGGGGTGGGTCCGCCGATTTATGTCCCATTTCTTGAGGCGGAATAACTCATCCATCCCCCCACGCCTCGGGCCCTTATCTTTGCCTTTCTGTCTGCGTTTCTACAATAAAAACAAAGCGGGGCTTTGGCCAGGGGGCCGGTGGTTCTTTTGCCTTTGAGAATGTTGCAACTTTGACCCCGTGAGCGTAAATTTAATGTGTTCGGTTGGAATTCGGAAGATTTGGGGGTTTGAGAAAATCAGAGAACCACCGCTGGGGATTTGATTAGTTTTATTTGTTCTTATTTGCCTTTTAAGGGTGTTTCTTTAGCTAGAGTCTCTTCCGGCCTCGTTTCCAGAGATCAGGCCCCTCATTGACGCCAATTCACGGATTAATTTCCAGTCAAAAGCCTTTTTGAGGCCTAGAACTCGCCAAAAGAATGCTTCAACTCCCCGGTCAGCGAGCATTTTCCAGCCACATTCCACTGCCCTGATTCCGTTACTGAATTACCAAACTTTTCTGTCGCTCTTGAATACTTTTTTATTAGCTTCTTCTTTCAATTGTTCTTAGCACAATTTTGCGAAATTCATAACTTTTTCAGTCTGTCTCAACCGTGGCGTGATTGACATCGGAAGAGCAGGCTTATTTTTGAGGGGGCGAAGAAGTTAAACGGCTAGAAGACGCCGAAGGACCTACAACCATGCAGAGATCGTGAGTTTTTCGAAATTTTGAAGTTCTTTACCGCTGAGGGCCTAGAAACGACGGCGTTTTTTGCTGAAAAATAAATTATCTTTCTAAGTTTTTACGGTTCGGTGTTCGCGAAACTATGCAAAAAGATTGCTGGAAAAAAATACTAAAATTCGGTGCTTTTTCGCGTAAGTAGATGCCTTTCCGCGCCCCCGCTGGTCCCCCCCATATTCCATTCCGGCCCGCCGACCCCCGACCAGCCATTTCCACCCCAAAAAAGAGGTATAGGGGGGCTTTACTAGAGCCATCCAAACATGGACATTCCCTGCCAAAACCCCCGAAGAACCCTGCCGGCCATGGCCGTCTATTCCATCGGGCCGCATCGAGGGCCCCATCCATCGATTCCCTTCCACCCGCTTAGGGCCCAGGGCCACAGCTGTGCCCCTCCCCCCTTTCCAGCACTACGCACCAATCCAAATCCCACCCCCATATCCGCTCCACTTCCATCCTTCACCCCGGCCAAGAGCTGGGCTTTTGGTGTGGTGCCCGAAATTGGTGCCACGGTGCCACTTTTGAAATTATTTCTCTACGTTGATGCCTTTAGCATTTTCTGTTGTTTTTTTTATAAATCGCAAAAACAAAAACAAATTCTTTTAAAAACCGCCTTCCCGTCATCTAGACGCCTTTTTTCTTCGCGTGTTTACGCTGTTTTTATTGCTAGACGGCATTAAAAAGCCGCTTCTCGCAATCCTCAAGCAACGCGCCTTGTTTTCCGCATTATGTCTAACCCCAGACATCAGTTTGCAAAATTGTTTTCTTTCGCGCCAGGATTGGCTTTCTTTGCCGGTTCTCCAGTTCCCTTTCACACTCTCTATCCCTAATTTTCGGGCTTTTCCGTCGGTTTCCCGGGGCTCCGGGAATGGCCTCTGGTCCAGCCGGCAGGGCGGGTAGGCCCTAAATTCGGGGCTCCTGTTTACACCTTTGCCTTCCAGAGAACCAGCTCTCATCTTTGGCATTTAAATTTAGTTTTGGTCGTGGGTCTTTCTGAATATTTCTTTTCTCTGTTCTCGTGTAATATTTCGAGCTTTGAGTGTAGAACTGCTTGGGGATATCCACCAGGATGGGCGACGTGAAGGGGCCCGAGGGGTCGAAGAAGAGCATGTGGCAGCAGATGGATGAGATTCGAGAGGACCGGTACGCAGCAGAGACCGTTTAGGAATTTTCTCCTCTTTTTGTAGCCATCTTTTCGTTTATCTCTACCCCGGAAGCGTGATTTTCGCAAAACGTAACTTCTTTCTTAACTTTTTAGCTCTAGTTCCCACCCCCAAATTGCCTTGATTATCCCGATTTATTAAATGGAAACAGAACGCGCCCCAGGGGCAGTGAGGTCGAAGGGGTGACATGACAGCTGTGTGCCCCATCCTTAACCTAATGACCCCGTCTGAGGGCCCACCGGAGACATCACCAAGAATGAGAGGCGCCGATAAACACACTTTCCAGTATATACAACCCTAAACATCAGAAATTCCTCTTGAACCCAATTTATCGGAGGCCAGCCAGTGGCTGTGCCCCCGCCAATTTACCCTATTGAAAAGCCGGGCATGGCCCTGAATTGGCCACTGAGGTCGAGAGGGATGATGAGCGGGAAAATAGGGAGGGAAGGGTGAAACTTGGGAAATTATGAGCTAGCCGGATTAATTCGGGCCTTTTTCAGAGAATCCCGAAAGCGCCGGATGTCGAAACGGCGCGAGTCGATCGAGCTCTGCAATTTGGGTGAGTTTTGTTCTGTTTTTCGCTCCACAACTTCGAGTTTCCTATGGAGTTTTTGCTAGCAGTTTTTTCGGTGAATCTAAAGTGTTTTATTAATTTTTGAGCGCCAAGTTTCCTCAAGGAATTACTGCTAGCTTTTTTCGGGCATGGAGTCAAAAAACGAAAAAGCGCCTGTTTATTAGGTCTTTTATCGCCGATTTCCGAAATAATTCCTGCTAGGCTGCCCGATTTCTCCATCAAAACAGCCGTTTGGGTACGAAGCTCATCTTTGCTTTCTACATCACAATTCCAAAAAACTCCTCGATTTTGACCGTTTGAACTTAAATTTCTGGCCATCCATCCGGCCACAATAAAAATAATTAACTGCGTGGGTCTGCTAACGCCCCCTTATCTCGCTCTCAGCACAGGGCTTTTGGACCGAGTTGCAATGGTTTGTTGGCCTCATGTGGACTGTATACGTCTCCGACTCCAGGCCCCCGTCCTAATCACCCCCTCCTGACGTCCCCACCACCGGCTTTATGCCATTCCGGGATTATTTATGGAAGTGGCGCCTGGGCTATCAAACACGCCCGTATCTTTCTATTACTCTGCCCCCGGCCGCATTGCCGTTCTTTGCTTTTTAGATGGGCAGGATTTTAATTAGTTTTTAGTTGTGTTTTTTTTTGGGAAACTCCACTTTCAAGCTTCATTTAAAATTCCGGGCCAGAAATGGCGTTAAAGCCGTTGAATCTAAAAGAATCAACTAACTACAAATGAATTTTGTAGTTAGTTGTTTTGCTTTTAAAACAGCTGCATCTTAATTAACATTTTCCTTTTTGTGTGCTGCTCTTGGCAAACTTCCACCTTTAATCTACCTTCACCATCCCTTTAAAATCCCGTCCCATCGAGCAGCGCAATATAATGGGAAATCTTGGCTATGGGGGGTATGTTGTGGGGGAAACCCGAGACCCACAATTCTGCTTTCCGCCAGGCTGCCAAGAATAATTTCTCACGCACTGCGGGGCACTTGGCCCAAAGCCCTGCCTGGGGGAGGAGGAGGACCAGGAGGAAATGCGTCACAACGTGTAGTTTGCAGGTTTTTTTTGGATGCCGAAAGGCGTTTTTGCCCTCTAACCGATTTTACTTTATTTTTTCCGGAATATTAATGCACTTTTTAGCAAGTTAGAGACTAGGAAAGTGAAAATTTGCACAAAATGCCCACAAATTTCTATTTTCCGAATATTTTATATTTTTGAAACTTGCAACGGGCGTTTTCGCTTCAATGATCAGCATCGCCGTTTTTATATTTCTGTCAATTTTCCGCGCGACCTGAGGGCCATCCCTGGGTAGATACCCATCGAGTCTATTTTTGGATCTGTTGGACTTGTTGCAGGTGGACACGAACCCCCGAGGGGCCATACTTTCCTGGGGATAAGAGAGAGAGAGAAGCCGAGAAAGTGCCAGGGATCCACTCTGCAACGACGGGGATGGGTCTAGGGCCTCGGAGCCCCCCGAAATGCATTCGGGTCGTCGGTGGTGCCCGGCATGGAATGTCTTCTTCTTTCTCCTGTCCGTAAATACGTTTTAGGGCCCTCGCGCTGGGCTCGGGCCCTTGGGGACATTGATGCTGCGATTCGGGGAAGGGATGAAGCAAATAAGGATACTTGTGGGGATGATTTGAGAATTTTTTTAGGTTCGAAAAGAATGGGTATAGGCTGAATACTCTCCTTTGCAGGCTAATTTTGCCGCCTTTTCTATAGAGAAAACCTATGTCTCTATACACGTTTTCAAATTGTTCCTTATGTCGCGGCAGAGCCAAACATTTCCAGAAAAATGCCCTCCGAGTTTTGGCAAGCCCAGCAGGGGCGAAAGCCGAAAAAAAGCCCCGAGCCCACCCAACTCATCTGCGAGACCGATGTGCAAAGTCATTATTTTATCGATATCTCCGCTTTGATTAGACAAAAATATTCAAATTTTGATGAAATGTAGCAGAAGGCGTCATAGATTTCATAAAGAAAAATAGAGAAAAAGAGAAGCGGATGTAAACCATAAAAGAATATTTTTTAGGCCCGGGCGCTCGCGTGATGTTCCTTCTAAAGGAATCCGACGAGCCGCCATCCCTATTCACCGAGATGGCCGAGCTGCAGAAAGACGGGTGGCGAGAATCCGCCAGATGGGTCAAGTTCGAGGAGGTCGTCGAACAGGGTACCGTTTGGGCCTAAATTACGTGTATGGTCATTTAGGTGGAAACCGTTGGTCAAAGCCGCACGTCGCCACGCTGTCCCTGCACGCATTGTTCCAGCTACGATCGTGCCTGATCAATGGATCCATGATCTTCGACATGCCACAGATAGACTTGCCGTCCATTGTTGGTAAGTGGATTCACAATGGAATTAGTACACTTCCGGAATTTCAGATGCACTGCTCGATAACTGGATGGACGCCGGAGACGTCGATCCATCAGATAGAGATGAGCTTATCGAGATACTCAATCGCCCCCATGTCCATCAGTACGAACAGGTGAGGAAAATAGCGTTTTATATGTTTTAAGTTTTGCAAACGTGTGTACGTTAATTACTCATTAAATTTAGGCCAAACGCAACGGGTCGGCCGGTGAACAGGGCGGCTTCCTGAATGCAGTGAGGAGCATTTCGGACATCGGTATCGAAACTCCAACTTAATCTAACCAAACCTACGTTTTCAGGAAAATCCTTCTCCCACGGCAAAAACCTAGGAAAACTCGGCAGCGGCGAGGGCCACGGCACGAATTTGGAGTTGCCCAAGGTAAGCCAGGTGTTAGAAATATTTTTAAAATACGCTCAATCACAACACTTGAAAATCTCAGCATCCCCTTTAGAAGAAATGGCGCAGAAAAACGAGAAAGGTTAAGCCGGCTAACTAGCTAAAGGGGTCGGATAAGTTGGTAGCGCCGCCTAAAAGCACAGCCACGCAGAGAGAGTGAGCTTGGCCTCGTTTCCACTCAAAAAGCGAATTGTTGCCGGTTCCAGTTTTCCCGATCGAATGTGGATGTGTCCAACGATCAGGAGGTAGTCCCAAATATAGCCCTAACGGACTGGATTGGGTAAGGAATAGGTGTTGGCGAATTTCAAGGATCTCTGCTAGCTTGTCTATCAAGTTTTCAGCATGTTTGGTCCTTGGAAAATGCGAAACCTACTCCGAACCCATCCATACTTTACTTCCTTCGGTTTTCCCCCCATCACTCACACTCCAATTCTGAGCATGGAGTGTTTTTCGAAGCGTTACGGATTTTTTCTGGTGGCTGCGGACTTTTGGTACTAATTTATTTTCCTTCTCGATCTCTCTCGCTCGTCTTTCTCGAGATTCCCGAAGCTCTAAAATCTGCCGTAACCACCAATTTTCCGCAACCACTAGGCGTTTTTGAGGAAGCTACCAATCCTTATTTCTCTAAAACGATCGCCTCGTTTACAGGTCGATTCAGCGCCGCATGACATTTCGAAGAATGGCTCATCGTCAGATGTCTCTTCTAAGGGAAACGTCCATTTTATGAAGAAGTTGCCGCCGGGTGTTGAGGCCGGAAATGTGCTTATTGGAGAGGTGTGTTTTAATAAAAAATTATAATTAGTCGGTCATAAACGTCAAGAAAAAATAAGTGAAAAGAAAAGGTAGTATTGTAAATTAAAATTTTTTAGAACCTTGTTTAAAAACTGCTTTAGCTTTTTTATCTGCAATCTTGTAAAACTTTGTAAAAGCAGTTTTTAGTGCGAATTCCTGCAACGACACATTGCCGCCTTCATCCGCCTGAAGACAGCCACTGTTTTGGGGGATATCAGTGAGGTTGGTTTTTTCATGGACCCTAGAAGCTTATCGTGACGGTATTTGAATGATTTTCTTTAGGTAAATGTTCCAACCCGCTTCATCTTCATCCTGTTGGGCCCCACCGGCCACGAGGCCCAGTATCACGAGATAGGTAGAGCCATCGCTACATTGATGAGTGATGAGGTATAATAGCTATTATAGTAATATATGATTCTTCACCCTAGGTCTTCCACGATGTCGCCTACAAAGCCCGAAACCGTGACGACATCATTGATGGTGTTGATGAATTTTTGGACCAGGTTAGCATGCTGAAAATAGCGTTATATTTTGGTTTTTAGGCCACAGTCCTGCCACCCGGTGAATGGGACCCGAAAATTCGTATCGACCCACCGACCAAGATCCCATCGCAGGTAGCGCATTTGATTTTTGAGCGAAAAATAAAATTCTATTCTTTTTGAATCGAAAGAAAACACGATTTTCAGGAGCAAAGGAAACACGTCGGCCAAGAGCTGCTCTTCGACAACTCCGCCCTACAACAAATGACAAAGGGGAAAGAAGACGAGGAGGAAGATGGTGAGTAGATGATTTTTTCTGCTTTTCGGCGGAACTGAGAATCGAAATTTGGTAAATATTAATTTATAAACGATCTTTTTACTATTACTATACGCAAAAACTACCGATTTTTATTTACTATGCAAAAAATATGGATTGTTATTTTTTCTGCTTTTCGGCGGAACTGAGAATCGAAATTTTGTAAATATTAATTTATAAACGACTTTTTACTACTACTATACGCAAAAACTACAGATTTTTACTTACAAATGCAAAAAATATGGATTGTTAGGCCACAATTTAGAATTTTCAACATTTTTTTTAATTTTCAGCCCCAAAAGCCCCTAATTTCCAGGCCATGGAAATGATCCAGCGTTAAAGCGTACGGGAAAACCATTCGGAGGCCTTATTGCTGATATCAAGCGCAAGGTATCCAGAAAAACGTTAAAGCTATAATTTTTCTATCTTTTTAGCTGCCCCATTACTGGTCTGACTACACCGACAGTATGAATCTCCAATGTTTTGCCACGATTTGCTTTATGTAGGTTTTCTACGCTTAACTTACTATAAAATACACTTTTTTGTTTTTATGAAGCTTCTAGCTTTCTAAAATATTAAATAAAATTTTTTTATAGGTACTTTGCTCTGCTTGCCCCCATCGTCACATTTGGAGGATTGTTAGAAGAGGCAACACATCAGCGGATGGCCGCTATGGAAAACATCTTTGGAGGTATTGAATTATATAACTTTACATTGGTTTAGATTTAATTCATGATATTAAATTTTGTTTTTGTACGTTTTTATAAATCCGAATTACAGGTGCCATCTGCGGCGTTGTCTACCATCTCTTCTCCGGGCAACCCCTGACCATCATCGGCTCGACGGGCCCGGTACTTGTGTTCGAAACCATCGTCTTCGACATGAGCACGAAATTGGGAATCCAGTAAGCAAAAAGTATTACCAAAAGCGAATATTGTAATATTCAGATACCTCTCGTTCCGCTTCTGGATCCACGTGTGGATTGCCTTCCTCTTGTTCGTGATGGTGGTCACCGACGCTTCATCACTCGTCTCCTACATCACCCGTTTCACCGAGGAATCCTTCGCCACCCTCATCGCCGTCATCTTCATCTACGAGGCCATCATGAAGCTGTGGAAGATCAAGGGACAACTGGATAATATCAATTACTCGAGGGATGTCATGGAGGGCGTTTGTAATTGCGTTGTAAGTTTTATTAATTATAGAGCTTTCACTTTTGAAAAGACATTAAATGATTTATTTTAGGGCACCAATGCGCACTATGAGAAGGCCGTCGAAAGGATTCAAAAGGAACATCTTGCAGTTGCTTACAATTCCACGCACATCGACTACTCCACGGTACGTTTTGATCGCGTAATAACAGCGTTATTAGGTTTATTTTATAAACATAAAAGTGGGCATACATTTAGGTATTTTTATGACTTTTTTTTGCTCTATTAAACTATGATTTGATTCAACGGCTTTCTAGGCGACGCTGCAAAACTGTCGCGACGTCTTCGGGACGTTCGAGGGGCCGCAGTGCTACCCGCTCTACGATAAGCTCCTAATGTCGATTCTCCTCGCCCTCGGTACCTTCTTCATCGCCATTAAACTGAAGGTATGTTTGTTTGGTTGAAGAGTTTGATAAGATACGTTTGCGTACGTTTTTCGAGCATAAGAAGGTATTGAATGGATTTTATCTGAACGTTACAGTAAATTTTAACCTAACTATTCCACATTTTTTTCAGCGCTGCAAGAACGCCTGCTACTTCCCATCCTACGTGCGCCAGGTGGCATCGGATTTTGCCGTCATCTTCGCCATCGTCATCATGACGGCCGTGGACATGTTCGTTGGAATCAACACGCCTAAGCTCAATGTCCCTCACACTTTTAAGGTATCGTCTTTCATTTTTTTTTGTCTCTACTAGGCTATACAAACGTCAGAAGCTATAAATGTATGGAAAAATTACAACCAGCGTTTGATTTTAGCCGACCTGGGATGGCCGTGGCTGGCTGGTGACACCGTTCGATGGAAATCCGTGGTGGACTGCTCCGTTTGCCCTGCTTCCGGCTCTGCTCGCTTGTATTCTCATCTTCATGGACCAGCAAATCACCGCCGTTATCGTCAACCGAAAGGAGAACAAGCTGAAGAAGGTGCGTGGGATTAGATGGAGCTTTTTTAAATTCAGCATTAAACTAAATTTTCTAACAACAATTTTTTTGTGGTGCTTCCTGTTTTATGAGGAGCGCGGGATGGTTTTTGTTTAGCTTCAAACTGTTTACAATTGCTAAGAATACGTTGTGTATTTTTATAAGGTTTAGTTTCGTAATTCCGATTACTAAAAAGGTCGAAAAACGTGTAAAATTTGCGGTTTCTAATCATTTTGGGCCAATTTTTGTTTTTTAAACCAAAATTAGCTTAAAAAATTGTTTATCGAACACTAAAGTAAAATCAAACTCGAAAAAGCGCTTTTTTTCATTATCGGCCTACTACGGGGTATCGGAAAAATTACGTTGAAAAATCAAGAAAAAAAAATAAGAAAAAAATGGCACATAACCGGAAAGTATCGTTTATCGTTTTTCATCTAAAATGCGTTCCCAACCATTTATATTATTTTTTTCTTGAAAATAACCAGTTTCGTATAACATAAACCACCTACTGCATGGGGACAGTTGGGGGAGAAAGGTAGAAAGGAGGGTTGTGAGTCAGCCGGTCCCCTCCCTCTCTCTTTCCTCTGGCTGGGTGTTCTCTGCGTGTTCCCTTCCCTTTCCCCACTAACCCTCCGCCTGGCCCACCCCCTCTGGTAACAGCACTCCCCATCCCCCATTCTTTAGCTTTGCGCAGAGGCGATAACGTGACCAATGAGGCCTAGCCGAGGTGCGTTTATTGCTGGTTGAAAACTGATACCAATTACCCGTCGCTTTCTGCCCTGAAATATGGGTGTCAGCGCAATTTTTGAACGCCCCTCGGGGGCAGAAATGGAAAAAGGGGAAAGAAGGATTTTCCTTTTGTCCTTAATAAAATTTAATAAAAGAATCTCGCCAAAAGTTTAAATTAAATGTTAGCCGTGATAATAACGGATCAACGAAGAAAAATTACTCAAAAAAACTATTGTCTTTTATAGAAAAACGAGTAATTCTCAACCCGTTCATTTCCAGGGCTGCGGCTACCATCTCGACCTATTGGTGCTCGCCGGCTTGATCTTGCTGGTGGGATGGCTCGGTCTTCCAGTGTACGTCGCCGCCACCGTGCTGTCGATAAACCACATCAACTCGCTCAGGGTTCGTTGCATTTCCTAGAATATTCTATTACTTCAATATATCTACGAAAACTTGATTTTAGGTAGAATCGCAGAGCAAGGCTCCTGGAGAGGTGTCACAATTTATCGGTGTTAGAGAACAGCGCGTAACTGGCGTGGTGACATTCTTGATCATCGGCCTTTCCGTGTTTGTGACAAAGGTCAGTTTTATAATTTTAAAGCGGAAATTTTACTTTAGTCGGTGTTTTTACAAATTTTAGCTTAATTAATTTAGTTTATAACTCCCTCTTTTTTTAGTGGCTGGGCCATATCCCGATGCCTGTCCTCTACGGCGTCTTCCTCTACATGGGTATCGCCGCGTTGGGCGGCATCCAGCTGTGGGATCGCATTCTGCTGCTCATCATGCCGATGAAGTGAGAATTTCGAGTTTTTAGGGCTTTAATTAGAAGGCTTTTAAAGGCGATACCTTAATTTTTACCTTCAGTTGCTGAATTAAATTTACTCTGCTTCATACCAATTTTCTTCCAGATACCAACCAGACACAATCTACATCCGGCATGTGCCCATCAAAAAGATCCATTTGTTCACCTTCTTCCAGGTACCTATTTAGAGTTAATTAATTTTAATTTGATTTATTTTCCAATTTTATTAGCATTTTATTAATTTTGATGACGTTTTTACGACCGTCTCCCCTTTTCAGATCCTCTGTCTCGCCCTCCTCTGGACCGTCAAATCCATCAAGTCCACTTCGATCTTGTTCCCGGTTATGGTAAGCGAATTTTTCTTTCTTTCTTACTTACATTTCTTCGGTCCCTTTCAATTCAAGGCCACGCCTAGATGCAAGGCATATTATTCTTTGAATTCAGTTGGTGATCATGGTCGGAGTGCGAAAGGCGATGGAGAGACTGTTCACCGCCAACGATTTGAAGTATTTGGACGATCCGATGCCCGATTTCCATCTGCGCAAACGGGAGGACTTGAAGCGGAGACAGAGCGAGGTAACCAGCCGGTACTTTAAATCGATTTTGAAAGAGCTGTTTTTAATTCGTATGTTAGATATCTTTTTCGTAGGCTATGACTTTCAAAGGGACGCATAAGGCTTGGATCTGCATTTTGCCGAGTATCGATTCTCATTTTGCAAAGTTTAACACTTTAAAAAGTGGCTTTGAAGTTTTTAAAAGCTGGGCATTAACATTTTTCTGTCCCCTTTTTATAGCATTATTTTCTAGGGTGAAGCCGTCGACATTGAAACCAACGACGAGCACCAGACGACCATCCGCGCCGTCAAGACCGAGGTCGAGAATTTTTTCCAGTTATTTACCTAAATTTTCAGGCCCATTTGCACATCCCGACTGCCTCCGGAAATGTGATCAAAATACCTCTGGCCGCCATCCAAGAGCCCAGCCATCAGATCAACATCAGCAAGGAGGTATTGAGGAAAAGAATTTTGGATCATCTTAAAAATTTAGGTGAACTCTTCGGGCATGTGGAAGCACATCTCCTCCCGCGACTCCAAGTCGTCACTCCAAAAGGATGTGCCAAAAGAGTGAGTTTATTAGGGGTAAATTATGATCTTGTGTTTTTAGCGGAAAAGTTAAGGAGACGCCATCAAATGTGGCGACACCTGAGGAGGATGAGGATGCCATTATGATAAAGGTAAAAATAATAAAATAAGGCTAATAAAGGGTAAAAATGGTGAATAAAACTAGGGATAAAGGGGTTGGCAAGCAGAGATTCTTTAGGAGAAGGCAGGCTAGCAGAGGTTCTTTGAGGGGAATGTCTAAAAGTTTTTATAAATAATTTTATTACAGGTAATCCGCCCGTCGCCGCACTCCTCTAATATGAATCTGGAGAAGACGGAGACCGAACCCCTTCTAAAGGAAAAGGAAGAAAAGGACGAGCCGAAAGTATAAAACCACCCTCTTTCCATTCAACATCCCCTCATCACTGCCTTCACCTCTCTTTTCACACTATTCTCGTCTATTTCGTGTTGATGCACTTTGCATTTTTCAAATCTACAAAATTTATCAATTTGTTAAAAACAGCTTTAATCGCCCCGTCCGTCCCTCCCATTCCCTCAGCATCTCACACCTCACGCAATTTTTCTGCACCCCCGTAATATGCCCGGTTTTCGCTGGTTTAAAGGGACCGGGAAGTCGGGAATGGCTTTGGCAAGCTAGCAGCGCCCATTTGCCACTTCGATGGTCCTTTAAAACGCGTTTTCTCTATTTTCTGGGTCCTACCTGTGCCCGTAAATTCCAATCAAAATTGGGGTCAATTTTTGCACTAACTAAGTCACTACCACAAAATTTTCTAGTCGACTACCCCCGCCGACGGGTTGGCGCTTTTCGTTGGTTTTTGGCGGGTCCCGGCACGCAGTTACGGTACTCGGAATTTCTCTCTTTTCGTGCCGGCACCCCCAAAAGATCCCCTAAAACGTAACCTCCACCACTTTCGCGAAATTTTGCAGTCTTTTGAAGTTTGGCCTTATTTTCCTTCCCCTTCCCATTTTTTTGCAAAATTATTAACACGTGTCGGATGGGCCTTTTGAATTTTCGAATTTCTCATCTCTACCCATCTGTTGTCTTCCCAAAATTGGAAATTTAAGCAGAATTATCGCGTCTCCCCTTCTCTCGTTGTTGTTTTTCGTTTTTTTTTGCGTGCCGTTTTCTTTGTATGCATTTTTTGCTAGAATAGAAGATGAATAAAACGATTTTTGGAGGTACGAAAAAATGCAGAGAGATCGAAATGGCCGAGCAGCTAGCAGAGGTTCTTTAGGAGAAGGCAGGCTAGCAGAGATTCTTTAGGGAACGACAGCATACCCATTTCTAAATCTAGACCGCCCTACCGTACCCACACACGCACCGATGCGTGAATTCGGGGCCGAACCGCCCCGAGTTTGGCTGTGTAAGGGGGGAAGGAGGAGGACAAGGGTGAACGGGGCATCATAAAAAAGTGTCGTCCAGATCATCGAAGAAGGAAAAGAAGAGAGCGGAATCGAATAAAAGCAATGATCACGAGGGGGGAAGGAGGGGAGGATGAACGGCGCCAATGGAGCGGAAGGGGTACGGTAGACAGGGGGACAAAGATACCCCCAGCCTCTACCTTCATTCCGTTCCATTCCATTCCACACTACCAGATCTTGCGCCCCGGAATGGAGACCGCATCGAACCAGGTATCTTTTTGACGGTTTTAAGGGACCGGATGCCTCTTAAATAATCTCTGCTAGCCTGCCCTCCCTCTCTCAATTCCCAAATGGTCTCTGCTAGCCTGCCCGCCTAGCTGATTTCATTCTAGGCTTGTTTCGAATGTGCAGTTTGCGGTGCCTCGGCGAAGGGATTCCACTTCGGAGCTTTTACCTGTGAGGGCTGCAAGGTACCGTATTTTTTTATGAAAAAAGAAATACATAATACATAAAAAGATATTAAAAATCCAGATACTTTAATTTTCATGAAACCTCTTTTTTTCAGTCATTTTTCGGACGCACTTCACTGCGAAAAGAACGTCCATTAATGTGCCGAGCCGGTGGCAGCTGTGATGTTCAGGTATGTCTTAGGTTTTTTACTCTTTTTATTTATGCAAATTTAGGGCGAAAATCGAACGGCTTGCAAGGCGTGTCGATACGAGAAATGCCTACGGGCAGGAATGTCGCCGATGAGTTGGTTTTTATCACTTTTGTGTCCCTTTAAAAGCTAAACAAAAACCTACGAATTTCTCGCAATTTTTGAATCATAAAAATATCTTAAAATGGCGATTTTTCGTAGATTGAAGTCAGAATCACGTCAATTTTTAAGCCATTTTAACAGTTAAAAGGTTACATGAATTTTTAACTACTTTTTGCATGAAATTTTGATGTACTTTCTTGCCTAAAAACGGTTCTATAAACCAAAAAATTAACTTAAGCTCCGAAAAAGGCTGAAAATCACGATTTTTAAAAATTTAACCTGAATTATGTTTTTTTAGAGGCGTTAGTATCTTTTTACCTAAAAATGAAAGTATAAAAATAACTAGAAATGAATTGAATTTTGTTTATTATTAAACTGATGAAATAACTCTCTATTAACTAATAAAATAAATGTATTTCTAAGATTCAGATTCTCGTTTCGGGCGTCGTTCAAAGTACTTCAAGGTCTCCGCAGCGTTGTCCGTCTCCAGATTCTCCTCTCAACGTGATGATCCACCTCTTACTCCCTCTTCTTGTCCCTCCACATCCGATGCCCCATCTACCGTACTCTCCCCACCATCAGCCCTTCTCCCTCATCAATCTCTCTCCTCTATATTCCCTCCAGCTCCTGTCTATCAAATGCTCGTCTACCGTAACCTTTTGCAACATATTTTTGCGTTGCCAAAGCTACCGTAACACTCTATTTGCCGTATTTTTTGTAGTTTAATATTTTCATATTTTGTGATTGTATATGTCATTTTTTGAGAAAAGAAATATATGTGTTTGGGGGTTTTATCCGCGGTTAAGCAGGCGGTTAAAAAATCGACGAATTCCGCGGGGCGCCTAATTGCGATACTTCCGCCCCCAGCCGGAGGCATCGAATTTCAGCGTGATTTCTTGGGTTTGTTTCGGGTTTTATAAAAGCCAGCAAATACACATGTCATGGCATAATTACAAGCCGTAATGCACTTTTTTTTGGCTTTGACGCTTTTTTCGGATTTTTAGGGGCCGAATAAGAGTTCAAAAACGGCTTTTCTGCTGGCCCTAAAGAGTCCTCCTAAAGAATCCTCCTAAAGAATCTCTGCTAGCCTGCCTTCTCCTAAAGAATCTCTGCTAGCCTGCCTTCTCCTAAAGAATCTCGGCTAGCCTGCCTTCTCCTAAAGAATCTCTGCTAGCCTGCCTTCTCCTAAAGAATCTCTGCTAGCCTGCCTTCTCCTAAAGAATCTCTGCTAGCCTGCCTTCTCCTAAAGAATCTCGCTAGCCTGCCTTCTCCTAAAGAATCTCTCTAGCCTGCCTTCTCCCAAAGAATCTCTGCTAGCCTGCCTTCTCCTAAAGAATCTCTGCTAGCCTGCCTTCTCCTAAAGAATCTCTGCTAGCCTGCCTTCTCCTAAAGAATCTCTGCTAGCCTGCCTTCTCCTAAAGAATCTCTGCTAGCCTGCCTTCTCCTAAAGAATCTCTGCTAGCCTGCCCCTTCTCTTTCTAGTGCTTGAACCGTCTGCTTGTTTGTGGTGTTGTGTGGTACAATCGCGAATCTGATGGGCAAACAGCTACGCGACACTCCTCCCGTTGACACCTCCTGTAAACAATAGAGAAGAAGAAGCCGGGTGGTGTGGACCCCCTAGGGGGAGATTTAGCCACTGTCTCTTTGATACCCACCGACATAGCCGGACACAAAACTTTTGTCTTCGGAAAAGGGGAAAAACGGTTTTTTTCGGGTTTCCTTCCCAGTGAAACCCAACCGAAAGAGGCCTTCGCTTGTTTTAAGGGGGCGGGTAAGGGATAATTTGCTATGTTATGTTGAAATATCATCATGCCGAAATATCAGTGCCTCTTTTCCATTCCACTACTATATATATGGCCATTACGATATGAAAACTGGAAGTGACCGTTTCTTCCTCCCTTCAACTAGTCCACCCGTACTCCGCGTTCTAATTGGAAAACCTCGAGCGCAATTTGCATGAGCTGGGCTTGGTGAGAGCGGAATGTCATCTACAGGGAGGAGGAGTACGCTACTTTCCGCAATTGCGGCTTGCCGTCGTGGAATTGAAGGGGTTGACATGATGACCTGTCAATGGCACCATTGTACTGGAAATGACAGAAGTTTTGATGAATTTTTCAAGAATCTCTGCTAGCCTGCCTGCCTTATCAAAAAATCTTTGTTAGCCTGCCAAATTTCAAAATTTTAACTACTTGCAGTTCCCCGGCGGTCCGATTGTAATTAGTTGCGTCCCGTTCTCCATATTTCATGGCCAATCATGTATGGGTTCAAATTGTGGGATTTCTCTCTATCTTTCTCTCTCGCTCTCTCTCTGTTTCTCGCTGTCTCTCTCCTTCTATGACTCACTTTGTCCCCCAGGATTGTTGTCATCGCAATGGCCATTCCAAAGGGGCTACCTGGCAACCGGATGTCCGAAATGGGCCCTCTGGCCCTTAGGGCCCACCGCTTCGAAGCGAGAGACAGGGAGAGAGAAGGAGCCTTTGAAATCGTCGGCTTCACCTTGATTGCTTCCCACACATGGGAAGGAAGTGGCGGCCATTGAGACCCATTGATTATCGCCAGAATTTAGGGCTAATATGAGGGAGTGGGGCAGCTAGCAGAGACCATTTGGGATTTGGACTAAAGAGCGGGCGCCGCCTAGCGCTTTCCTCAAGGATCTCTGCTAGTTGGCCCAAATGGTCTCTGCTAGCCTGCCCTCCCTCTCTCTATTCCCAAATGGTCTCTGCTAGCCTGCCCTCCCTCTCTCAATTCCCAAATGGTCTCTGCTAGCCTGCCCTCCCTCTCTCAATTCCCAAATGGTCTCTGCTAGCCTGCCCCCCTCTCTCAATTCCCAAATGGTCTCTGCTAGTCTGCCCTCCCTCTCTCAATTCCCAAATGGTCTCTGCTAGCCTGCCCTCCCTCTCTCAATTCCCAAATGGTCTCTGCTAGCCTGCCCCCCTCTCTCAATTCCCAAATGGTCTCTGCTAGCCTGCCCTCCCTCTCTCAATTCCCAAATGGTCTCTGCTAGCCTGCCCTCCCTCTCTCAATTCCCAAATGGTCTCTGCTAGCTTGCCCTCATCTCCAAGAATCGCCGCTAGCCTGCCCCAAATTTCTTGCCCGTTGGAAGCCCCGGAATGGAAATTTGTGGGTGGGCGTGGCTTCGGCAGGCGAGAGAGTACCCTAGGGTGGAGAGTGACAGAGACGCAACCACAGAATGTGGGTGGGTGGTTGTGGTGGCAGTCTTCTCGAGATCGCCCCCAATTCCTACAGCTTTTCCTTGGTGTTGATTTCCTAAAGAATCACTGCTAGCCTCTTTTCAATTTTCCAGTTCCATTGAATTCCTCTGTAATTAAAAATCTTCTATGAACTACTTTCAGATGACATGACCCTGTTCCAATTTCTCCTTCTGCTCTGCGCCATATGGCCCACTGGGGCTCTTGATATATTCTGTGGATCGCTTACCGTATACGAGCAGCAGAGATTCGGCTCGAATGCCATTAATATTTCTTCGCAGGCGACGGATGACCTGAAGCAGTGTTTGGAGCTGTGCTGCAATATTCCCAGTACGTCTTTGACCAAATTACGTTCCGGAAATCGCTATAAAAGTGGGCCTAAATTCCATAAGTATCCTTGCTAGCTTGCCTGGTCGCCAGTGAGAAATTTTTCCTCCAAAATCTCTGCCAGTTTTCCCGTCAATTCCCCAAGAATCTTTGCTGATCCATTTTTTGACAAGAACTTTCCCAAAAAAACGGCGGGCCTGGCTTTTTCCTAAAGAATCTTTGCTAGCCTGCCTTTTCTTAAGAACCTCTGTTGGCTTACCTGAAAATTCTTCAAAAACCTGCTATGCTGCCCTCAAATTTTCTCAAGAATCTCTGCTGGCTATCCCCAAACTTCTCTGCTAGACGGCCTCAATTTCTTCGAGGAAATTTCTCCAAAATCTATGCTAGCTTACCTTGGGGGCTCTTCAATAACTTGCTAGCCTGCCAGCAGATCCTCAGAGGAGCCAGCTTTCAGCGTTTCCTCAAGCTTCCCTGCTAGCTGGCCTCGAAAATTCCTCAATAGTTTTTGCTAGCTAGTCTTTAGTTCCTTAAGAATCGCTGCTAGCTACCCTTCCTACCTTTATTGTGCTTGCCAATCTGCCCCAATATGCCTGGAGGCTATTTCCTGCCAACATGCCCCGTTATTAGACCTGGGATACGTCGTAATTAGTCCTGATCGGCATAGCTTTCGGGTCGAACGGGTTGGGAGGGTGGACCAGGTGGCCAAAGAGAGGAGAGGGAGACGAGGGGGGGAGGGGGGGGGGGGGGGGGGGGGGGGGGGGGGGGAGAGAGAGAGAGAGAGAGAGAAGAGAGGGAGAGAGAGTCTTGGGGACACCGTGGGACTAGGGTAATTAGAATCCAGAATGGGCCGGGCAGGGTTGGTTTTGGTACAGTAGAGGGGCCAACTAGCAGAGTTTATTTGGGAATGCCCGGGGCAAGCCAGTAGAGAAGATTTGGGAATTCAGAGAGACGAAGGGCATGCTAGCAGAATCCATCCTTTTGAATCCCCCGTTCCCCGATTCGTGTCCCATGAGACGACGTAATGGGTTGTGAAGTGGACTGAGACTATGAGAAGAGATTATGTTCTTGAATGGTTGTGTGGGGGAATGGTGGATGATTGTTGTGTTGAGAGAGTGCACACCACTTGGCATAAGGGCCCTCTCTCTAGCCATCACTCGCTCTCTCTCCCTATCTCTCTCTATCGCCTTCACACACTCATACTAACATTACGTATTGGTGGCCATGGTCCGGCTGGTTGACAAGACAAGACTAAACGGAGTTGGCTAAAGGGATTGGGAAGGCAGGGTCACGATCCGAAATTGTCTTTGCTAGCCTGCCATCAGGCTAGAAAATGGTCTGCGCTAGAAATTTCTCAAATAGCCTCCGCTAGCCTGCCGTCACTCTCTCTCTCTCGCTCTCTCTCTCTCTCCCTACCTACCCTACTCCGGTCACCTTTATAGCGGCACCCAATAAAACCCCTGGCATTCGGCCAATTTCACCTGAGAAATTTGCAACACACAGCCATGGGTCGAGAGCAATAAATCTCACTGCCGGTTTTCCGCCCCAAGGAAAGGCAAATTGAGATCGAGACCGAGGGAGAGATGGAGAGGGAGAGAAAAGTGGACTACGCGGGATGCCTCTTGACGGCATATTATAAGGAATTGGAGGGAGCGAAGGAGACGGTTTCCCTTTCAATCTCCCCCTCCTTATTGTGGAGACACAGCTGGAGGGAAGCGGATCAAACGCAGGAGGGGATGCAAATTTTTGTGGGTATCGCTATGGGGGTACTGTTGGTTTAACGGGATTAGGGAACTTTGGTAAGAAAGATGGAGAGAGAGAAACCAATCGGTCAAATTTTCTCAATAAACTCAAAATTTTTTCTTTTCTCATTCTTTCTCCAGCTCTCTCTCCCTCTCTCTCTCTCTCCGTCTCTCTCTTTCTCTCTTTTGCCCCTTTAATCTCCCAAGCTAATTCTGGCTATTGTTCCCACCCAAATAGGGTCGATGAAAAATTGATAGGCCGAATGAATAGGCCCCCAGAAGACCCACAGGTGGGCTAGAAAGACAGCGAGAAAGCGAGAGAGCGAGAGAGAGCGAGAGAGATAGAGAGAGAGAGAGAAAGAGAGAGCTGGCTGGCAAAGAGAACCTAAAGAAATCGTATAGCCCTCCCCGGATGTT